GCCACGGACGTATATACGTCCGTGTTTACAACTCACTTGATTAGGTAATTTGTTTGGTACAGAACTACAGACTACAGACACTGCTGTCCACAGAAACTAAGGCTCTAAGCCTCTAACATGACGAGGCTCTCATACAAACTACAGAACACGTATAGGTCAGGGGTGGATCTCGGATATTTAGATAGAGAGGGGGGGCACATATAAATTTAACGCAACTACGCAAGTGTGCACCGGCCACCGGGCTTAAATGATTATACATAGGTATCGACGAGACACCAAGCTGTAACTCATTTTATCAGTTTAAATGCAATTTATGATTGTATAATAGTAGGTACTAGGTAGTATTGTAGTATTATTCTTATTTACTGAATTTTTCATTTATATGATACTCGTAGCATAGACCTATTAACTAAATAATAAAGATATACTTAATAAGTCTATGACTTGTAGTTACATAAAAAAAATTGTCGTTAGAAAATCCGAAAATCGATAGAGATGGGGGGGACGTGCCCCTGTGCCCCTCCCCTGAATCCGGCATCGGTATAGGTCAGTGATGGCATATGGCAAACCTTTTGAACACTGCGTGCCCAAAATTACCTTTTTTTTTTTTGCATCATAATTTGATTGTATAATTAATGTATTAGTATAAAAAGGTTAGTTTAGGACGTTTTGGTATACATACTGATTGTAATAATATTGCTTTGTTACCTAATTATTTTCCTTTGATGTGATTTTTGTTGTCGAACACTTGATGCCAATTCGTTGATATTTGGTTTATAATTAGTAACTCTTAATAAAGTGAATACATACCTGTTGTACATAATATAACAGTAAAGATTTTCGAGTGCCCACAAAATCTTTCGCCGTGCCACGGATTTTCCATCCCTGCAGGCCCAGATTAACACTACCGTAGGCCCTAGACCCATGTGCTAATACGGTCCTATAGTGTTCAGTGTTTAAATGATTTAGAAACCTAATGTTTGGGAGAGGTAGTGTTGAATCTCAGTGTTTTAAGCCTTTAAAAACGAAAATATTTACAACATGATATTTTACATTTTAAGTACATAATAAGTTCTATTCTCGTTACACAGTTATGTCGTTATCACTTAATATTACAATAGGAACATTAAAGTAAAGTTAAGTAAAGTAAAGTACCTATAATAAGCGTGTTGAGTGTATCAGTCATTTTTCTAGTTATTAGTACTTATTACATTTATTTTACTTTAAATTGATTTAATTTTACTAGAACTTAGTTTTATTAATAACTAAAATTCTGTAATAACGGTAACCACGACTTGTCATCAGCCAGCCTCGGCAGCAGCAGCAGGAGACCCCGAAGTCTACCGCCGGCGTTCGTCCGCTCCGGCCGAGCTGCCCCGCAAGCATTTTGCAGAGCTTTCCGACGTGCCGACACGAAACGGACACCCATCCAGTCAATCGGACCTCGAGACGTCCGTTCCGGAGGCCGCGCTGCAGGATCCAACGCGTCGCTGCAGGATAACGGTGCTACGAGTTCGACGAGAGGAGTTGATAACGCGTTGTCGCGCACGACCGTGCGGTCGGCGCCCGAACTGCCAGCGACGTCGCCCAGAGTCCGGGAGACGAGCAAATTCGAAGACAGTTCGGCGCAGAGTTGATGGTCCCCGGCGACAAATAAACATGATAATACTTTTGGACCGGTGCAGGACCACCCGGAACGGGAAACAGAAGGCGGTGACGGCGACGAGCTGGAGTTGGTCAGTGACCCGATAGATCCTAAACGGCGTCGCTCGATATGGAGCCGGACGGAGAAGTTCATCCGGCGCATGTTTTGCTGGGCCGTTTAGAGGGTGACCGCAACCACTTGGTTGCCGAATCAGGTAATTCATTTAAACCGAAATAATTAGAAAACAATTTTTGTTCTCGAACTTGACTTGCATAAATACACTTGCAGCTTTGTTATGCTACTTATTGTCTACAGTTGGGTTTTAATTGAAACAGTATTATATTTATTACAATCAAACGCGTCAACATTCAACACGCCCTAGGGTAAAATTAATTTATGTAGCTTAATTGTGAAAATCGTAACTACATTGTAAATCTCCAACCTCTATAGTACTGCACCGAAAAAATCCTCGAACAAAAAAAAATAAATTTTTGTATTAAAATCGATATTCAAATAGATTTCCGAACAATTAGGCGGTTCTTTACAGTTATGTCTTATATTACTCAAAATATGTTTGTACAAAGAAAAACTACGCCCTGAAACGAAACATGCAGAAAATACATAACTCAGGTTGATATTTTATGCTACACGACATTTGATCAGATGTGATTCATCTTGTGTGCAAACACTGCAGGTGCAATGTCAATCAAAGTCGGTCTTTAGTTATAAGTGTTATAAATTATATGCAGTGCTGGAGAGTTGCAGCATTTGCCAGTTATTATTTATTTTTGGCTCTAGCAGATAGTGCCACTGAAACTCATGTCGACATTATGTTACAGTCATCTCAAATATTAAATTTGAAAATTCTGTTCTTTTTTTGTGCTCGTATTATTTTAAAAACGAGGGAAATATTTTATTCCTGTGTTTTAAATTTTTATTGACCTGCAGTTGTCCGGAACACATCATTATTATCATGTCTTGCGACAAAGCGAGTCGCTCACAAAATTCAGACGACATTCGAACGATGCTTTAATACGTGACTCGCTCTGTAAATATGATCACATTTTCTTATTCTTATATGATCCCTGGTACATAAATTCTGGTCCGTCATGAAAAAAGACAGTTCAAATTTAAAAGAATTTACGCCGGCACTGAGAGGTGAAATTGTTTGTGAACTGATGGTCAATTACTGAGGTTGTAATTACTAATTAATACCTACTTTAAAACTGATAAAGTGATAACTAAAAAAATAAAATAAATATAAATTTATCTTTTAATTTGGTTTAATATTATGTTAGAGCTAAGATAGTGACGTGGTATCTTAAAATTTGAAAGAAGAGCTCTCTTTAAATTTGCCTAAAATTTAATTTTTGGAAGTGGTTTTACCCATCATCGGATTACTTACCATCTATAATTTATAATAATATGCATGTAGTGTGTAGGAAGTAGGTACTGTAATTAGGTACAGGTGTGGCAGGGCACCCAAGTGTTTATTAATAAATAAGAATTAAAATGAAACAGTTAACAGACCATATATTTTTAAATCATGCTCATCGTTTACCGAGTAAATATTTATGATCCGTACTAACACAACTAAATATTTTATTTTATTTTTTAGTTTAATAATAATTATTAATTTATAAGTTTGTATCTGAATTATTTGTGGGTATACGATAGTATAAAAATACAGCTCATGGGGGTATCTATCCCCCATATACCCCCCTCCCCCCGTAATTACGCTCCTGCTTCCTATGTATAGGCACATTACTACGCTATTAGTATAACACGTCGTCGTTCGTCGCATTGTGTATTTCTTCGGCAAGACATTTATTCGGAATATCGGATCTCTGCCGCAGAACTTATTTCCCGCGATAACACCTGTCCAAGTTTCCAGGCCAACAGCTGTCCAACCGCAGTTGCTGGCCAGACAACCAGACCATATCTAAAATTCTGCCCACCAAAATCGCACACTGGACAGACCACAGACATGGCCTACATGTAGGTACTTTATTATATTAATATATATTATAATGACCTAATATTAATTTAAAAAATGAAATCAATTTTAATACTCTAATGATTAGTTCGGTATAGTTGTGGACCATTAGGTAAACAAATGCATAAAAATAATTTGTGCAATAATGAGTTGTTAGAAGAATAGACGAATTTTTAAAAAGCATAGGTCGTTCAGACATTGTAATAAGACATGGATGGTACGTAATTTATATTAAATTATTATTACTGTTATCGGATGTTTATATTGACTTAATTCATTTTAAAAATGATCATTACTGTTATTGTAATTTGCAATGATCGATGTTTGTATAATAAACGTAAACGTTAGGTAAGTATAAGGAATAGAGTTATCAAATTCAAATATTATATATTGACATATAGTAAATAATAATAGTAATATAACTATAAATGAAAATGTAATAGATCATATTTTTATTTTTCGGACTTTTTGTATGCCAAATGAAAAATGAATCTGTACTTCTTGTCCAACTTTTTTGAATATAGACTTTATAACCGATTACCCTAGCCAAGGTCAAGGTGAAATGCTTGTTGATATAGCTACTAATTGATGCATGTAATCATCTTTCGTATAGAGGTAATCAGGTAAGAAGTAACTTCCAACATTTCTGTATTTAAATAATCTGGAAATTCCTTTCCTTCGTTAACAATTCTTTTTATAGGCTTTTAAAATGTACCTAATTACATAATATATTAATATATTGATATTGATAATTTAAAAGTACGATGATAATCAGTTCACAAGAATATTTGCTTGCATTAAAATATTTTAAGATTAGATTAATTATACAATATTTTATATTACGATTTAAGAATATTAAGTAAAATTGTTGCTCATTACTACCTATGCATTATTCATAAACAGTAAGTGCCTACTACCTATACTAATAATTTTTATTTTTACAAAATTGTTCAAAAACATTTTAACCGTATTAATTACCTACTGTCCTAATTTCTACCCATATTTAATGATTTGAGTTAATCATCATTTGTTAGAATTTTTTTATCCGTGAGCTTTCGAAATCTTAAATTTCAAACACTGTACATTATTTCTCTAAATATTATTCAATTAGTAATTAAAATTTTTTTTCTTTTTTCTTTTTTGGTAGTACAAATTACAAACCGTATATTATGCCATAATGAGTGAATCATAAATAATTCTATATAATATATCCACATTTTAAAAATATATTACCCTCTTTCCAGGGTTCCTCTGAATATATACCAACAAAAGTTAACTAAATGGTCGAACCGGTCAAGGTCCTAAAAAGACCAGCCTTGATAAAAAAAACCTCTTACTGATCAAGAAAATAATAACAGCATGGGCCTATCAAATAAAAAAGACGAGTAAGTTTAACATACATAACACGTCAATTAAATTTTAAATAATGATGAGTGTTTTTTATTTAAATAGAATGAGATGGACTTTGGATAATTTTGATATTGGAAAGGAAATTGAAAAAGTAAAATTCGGAAACGTATATCTCGCCACAGAAAAGAGCTCTGGTTTTACTGTTGCTTTGAAAGTTGTGTGTAAAACGAAAATTTTGAAAGCAAACCTGCAACCTCAGCTTAAAAGAGAAATTGAAATCCAATCTCATTTGAGGTAGACGCCAAATTAATTAAATAAAAAATTAAATTAGCTGTATTCTTTTTTTTTAGACACCCAAATATTGTCCGTTTGTTTGGATACTTCCATGATGATGCTAAAGTATATATGATCCAAGAATATGTAATCAAAAAGCTATACAATGTATTAAAAGCTCAAGAAAATCAACGTTTTTCTGAAGACAGGTAAATATTTATACACATTATATGACATTAAAATTGTGCGTGTACGACATTCAACATCTAAGTTATTTGGTACGCCCTCTCGTTTATGAAGATATACATTGTACATTATTTGTACACGAATTTTACGACAGTTAATAAATGAAAAACTATAATTACGCTTTAATATTTATACGACAAATTTTGTAAAGTCTAAGTCTAGTCCTCGTCGATGAACAAGGGCACCGACAAAATTACCGAGTATGGATGCTCATTTTGGTGCAAATTACAAGCTGTCAAACTCCCATTTAATTCACCTCCCTACCACCGAGGTCAGCAATTAAAATTAAAAATTACCATCTACTATTATTGTGTTAAATAGGGCAGCATTTTATATCAAGCAGTTAATGGAAGCACTGATTTATTGTCATGATAAAAATGTTATACATCGTGATTTAAAACCAGAGAATCTTGTACTTACCGAAGGAGGTGACTTGAAAATTAACGATTTTGGGTGGTCCATACATACAAAAGATTCCAAGTAACATAACCCCCTATTTTAATTTCAATATTATGTTCTACAAATCGATAGTAATTTTATTTTTTAGGCGTAGGACAGTGTGTGGAACCTTGGACTATTTACCACCAGAAATGATGAGCGGAAACTCTCACGACAAATCAGTAGATATGTGGAGCGTAGGTGTCTTATTATATGAGATTTTAGTAGGTAAACCACCTTTTGAAGCTCCAACATACGGAAAGATGTTTGAAAGAATAATCGATGCTCAATACATTTTTCCGCAACATGTAACTCCACTTGCTCGAAATCTCATATCTGGGGTAAGTATCCTTGCACATAATTTTTTAATCCAAAAATGATGTAATAAATAAAATAAAAAAATGATTTACTGTTGTTTAGTTATTGAGAGTAAACCCCGAGACTCGTTTATCTCCCAAAGACGTGTTACTACATGACTGGATACAAATACACACAAATAGTAACAAGTAACAAATACTTTAAGATTTAAATTTTATGAAATGTCTTCTTTATTGTATGTAACTGTTAAAAAAATGTCTCTAATTTATTGTTTATAGTGTCAGTTCGATAAAGTGTGGGTTTTTGTATACAACATTTTTTTGTCCTATTGTAAAAGCTCTTAAAAGTCCTTATTTGGTAGGTAGTTTTATTATACCATAAGAATACATTGTGAAATATTTTATTTTACTACACTTATATTATATATTATATACTTTTTAAAATTAATTTTTACAATAGTTCTTCAATCATTGGGAGTATAAAAAAAAAATGTTGTATACTTTCATAGTTATAATAATTATTTATATTAGTGATTTTCATCAGTTAATTTGTTTCCTTTCTTTGTAAAAACAAATTCACAGTATGAGTTATATATACAATATAACTTTTTATACACATTATGAATTATTTTATAATTTTCACCTTTTACATTTTTGAAAACGAATAAAACTAATAGTTATAAAATGATTTTTTTCTTCTTAATACAACTTGATAGATTTTTGAACATACTTAGATTATAAATGTATAAGTGCATTCTATATTGAAGTTTTAAATACCAATTGCATTCCAATGCATTTTTCTTATGATAATTTGAAACATTATTTTTTTCCACACCTCAACAGTTCAAAACGAGTCAAAATATTTTTAAAATGTTATGAGGTATAGGAAATGAAAATTTGGTGTAAATCTCAAGGTTATTCGAGTAATTTGGCCCTAAAAATAAAAGGTTTTACTAAAATGCATAATATATAATACATCATATTTAACTAATAATAATAATAACGAAAATTACGAAAATTACTGAAAATAATCCAATTAATAACCTTTGATCAATAAAAAACCAAACATTAAAAGTAAAAACGCAAAAAAATATGAAAAAAATATCGAAATTGGTATGGTTTTTGAATTCGGCCTCCTATAATTAGATGTTAATAAGTACAAAAGCACTTAACTCCCCATACATTTTCATATGGGGCTTAATAAAAAGGGAAACTAAAATGTGTTTTACGGAGATGTTTTCTTAATATTTTACACTTTAAGCCAGATTGAATGAATACGACATACATAGGTAGGTAACTTATAAGTTAGTGTAGAAATAGTTAATGGAGTATGTATAACTATTAGGTATGCTACAAATCATTAAAATTAAAATAGGCACACCTATATATCTATCACGGCGTGTTAGATAGGCAATTTATACACATCATCTTAACTTAATGTTGAAAAATCACTATACATATTATATAGTAATATGAATGTCAAATGATAAGCCAATTACTGTGCTGGGTGCTCACCAACCTGACCTACCAATAAATAATAAACATATACTTTCGTTTATTTTAACGACTTAATTGTAAAAGCGCAGGTTGTTATTGCAATTAAAATTATTTTTTTTTAATCGAACAAATTATGAATAATGGCCTGCGTAGGAAGCTGTGCTAAATTAAATAGCTCAGAAAGCATTTTTATGATCCGCAAGTCCACGACACCGGGATATAATTAGACCAGAAAGTCCTACTACTTATAAACGATGAAGTAAAATGTTGCGTGAGTATAATTATCAGTAATACTCAAATGGAAAATTTAGAGGTACTTGCGGATATAGGTATATACGTGGTTAAATCGTCTCGAAAAAAGGTTTCTATTGTTCGTAAATTGTAAAAAAGGCAAATGTGTGCAAATAAGTTATGGATCTACGGTGGTAGGTGGGGGGGAGGGGTTAAGGGTTCAAACAATATATTTTTTCCTACACACAACTATAATATGTAAATCGCAATTTAAAATTGTTTAGAATTTTATTTTGTACAAATTATTTGAATGTATTGATTTTCGTACGTTCCACACAATACTTATAAAGTGTAAAACTATCTTTGCCGTATCCGTAGGCGTAGGTGTCTTGCTTTATTTCGAAGTTTTCGTTTACCGTTCGGTGTTTAATGGTTTAAATATTTCTCAGAACATAATATAACACCCGTGTGGCGTGTAGACTTAACACAACGGTCATTTGTCGACTAATAATTGCTCTATATGCAAACGACTTTCGAGTCTTTCGTTAAAAATACATATTTTAACGATTTTATAAGTCGTTAAATCTGTGGCAATTTTCAGATTTATACATTCCACAATACGAAAAAAAGAAACAATATATTTTTGTCTGCACAAGAGCACAATTAATAAGTATTATGACCCGATTTTTAAATATTGTGTGAAGGTCCGAAATACATAGAGGTGAACAAAAAATTAACGAAATATGTTCGTATACAATGAAGAAACGAAAACAAATTCAAACGAGATAAACTTGTGGAATTAAAAAAAAAAACACCGGTCAATAGACCCAAAAACAAGGAGGGGGGGGCAAACGGGATGACGATCGGATGGAAATTTGCAATTTTGGCTACTGGTCACCTCCATAACGTTTTCACGACCGGTGCCGCTGATCTGCAGGTGACAGCCACTCGAAGTCTTATCACTGTCACGCGATAACAGACAGAAAAGCTGCGGCGACTCGTGTAGAAGGTTTTCGTCATCACCATGACTGCCGTTCACAATGCCCACGCCCATTTGTTCGAGAATCTCGAGTAGTAAGCGGCATTTATGGCGTCGTCGATGCTGTGAAAGAAAACAGCCATTTTTTATGCGTGCGTAGATAGTGTTCTGCAGTCTGGTTGAATCGAGAATATTGGTAATGAATAGGTAATATTGTACTAAGTACCTCTTCCCACGGCTCTGGCCCCCTTTAGATATGCAATAAACACGATAAACCATGGGGGATAAAGAAGAACAGATTAAATCGTTTTAATAATTAACGGTATAAAAAAAAAAAAATACGTTTATGGTAAAATATCTGTTAACAGTCTATTCAATAAACCATCATATAGTCCACGTCCCGACTGTGACGGTTAACCGAGTTTCTACTGTACCCATAGAAGAGAAAATCTAAAATCTAAATCAATGTAAATGTAAATAAGTAGACTATTAACAATTATATTATAACTTATTTTTTATGACTATTATTTTTAAAAAGAATTGCCTTAATTGGTCGGTGCATAGGTATATTACGACCCTTCTCAGTAACGTATCAAAGAGGGACTACTCTAGTCGTGAAAATGTTCAAAAGTTTCAAAAGTTCAAATCTTTACAAAATTGATCAAAATTCCGAAAATATGCAAATTATTTTTCAGTTTAAAATTTGTAAAAGTTTTACTACCTTTTACAAAAATTAGTTTACCTGAAATTTACGCTATTTATAGCCATGAGATATTTTCAATTTTAATTAATTAAGTTTTAATTTTTAATTATTAAATGTGATTATATCCCAACTAGCACCAAAACATTCATAATGTGTGAAAAGAATATTCATTTGACTATGATCGAATAATCATATAATATTCTAGATTCTTCTATCAACCCTCTATCAATCTACTAATCTCCTCCAAAAGCTGCTAAATGAGCCACTTATAATCAGTCTATGAATATACTATCAATATGCAATATGACATCAATAGTTCAAAACGAATATTCATTGAATGATTATGATTAATAAAAGCATATTCTATATGGATATTCAAAATTGAAGTCTTAAAATAACTGGTGATATTATGCATAGAATAAGATATTAATATTCATTTCTTAGTCATTAAATAATATAGGTAGAAGCTATATATATAATTATATAGTTACCGTTATTACTAATTTATATACATATTAATTGTTATACCATATTTTATATATAAAAATATATACATAAAATTGTTATATATATATAAATTAATAAAATATGGTTAACAATAAATAGATTGTGTACTAAATTATAATGCGTGATTATATATTTAGTTATGAAGTAGATTACCCATTTGCAATAGGAAAAACGTGTTTATAATTTTTTTTCCGTTTAAATATTTATATAAATTCAAAACAATGTATTTATTTAGATTTCAGTAACTTTAATTTTTAGTAAAATAAATACATTAAAAAAAAACTTTATAACGAAAACTAGTCGAGCAATAGATTAATATTTTAAACAGGTAGGATTAGGAATACCTAGGTTTAAATTATAAGTATTAATTATTAATATATAAGTGTATATATTATTCATATAATTTATAAAAAAAAGATGAAAATAAAGATATTTTTTAACATAATATTTGCACATCTTGCATTTAAATTATAATATATGTGATTAAAAATGAATATTTATAACAGGTGATAATTTCTAAAAAGAAATCATCACAAATAAAATACATTAAAAATAAATTGTACAACATTATAATATATAACTAGCCAAGCTAGATTAACATTTTAAATATAAGTAAAGTATAAATATTAAATAAGTATTATTACTTATATAATTTATAAAACAAATAAAAATAAAGATATTGTTTAACGTAATATTTGCACATCTTGCATTTAAATTATAATATATGTGATTAAAAATGAATATTTATAACAAGTGATAATTTCTAAAAAGAAATCATAACCAATAAAATACATTAAAAAAAAATTGTATAACATTATAATAATATATAACTAGCCAAGCTGATTACAATTTTAAATATAAGTAAAGTATAAATTTATACTATATATATATTATATATATTAATATGTATAACAGGTCATAATTTCTAAAAAGAAATTAACAAAAAAATGCATTAAAAAAAAAACTATTTATGAAAATAACTAATACACATTGCTTAGTTAAAAAAGTGTAAATGAATATAATTATTAAGCTTAGCAATCAGCTGGTGTTGTTTTAAGTCGTTCACTTGCTTTTGTGAGCCAAATACTAGCAACAGTTTCTATCTCTTTGATTGTGGTGGTGTTAAAAGAAGAAGAATGCACTGCTTCTAAAATTAATTACTTAAATGAAATAAATAATTTCAATAACTGCTAACTGGCTATAATAACTTACTTAGTAGTAGAGAACATAATACTGTTTTATTAAATGCATTTTTATTGCCCTTATGACCAGTATAGCTGTACGACTTAGCAAATTCATCAGTCATCAGTTTTCTTAAAATTCTTCTTATAGTCTCTTTATAACTGGATCCGCCAATTTTGGACAACATATTTACCTTTTTAACATATTAGAGAAACAGATAATATAGTAACAATATTAGGTTTAATATTAAGAAGGTACTTCACAAATACTAACAGTTTGATCATATACAGCATCATCACATAATAAAATGTGTTTCAAGCTATTCAATGAATCTTCATTTTGTATTGGAAGCATTTTATAAGCACTTTCAAACTCATGATTATTCAATAATGCTGTATTCGGTTGAATTAAAAGTTTTTGTTTTTCTTGCACATCGCATACAATCATCATGATAGTGTGTAGATATTCACCTTGCTCCTTAACTCGAGCATTTAAAGTAACCAGTTGACGAATAATTTGTTTTTGAACTTCTATAATTATATTTTAAAAATATTGAACGCACATTTTAAAATAATANGATGTTGTTCTGTTCCTTACTAGTCGGTATGACGGAATTTTCTTTAACATTTACTACACCCAAGACACAACGGACAACATATAATTTTCATGTTTTAATCATTTTAGCTTATGACATTTTACTGTTAATCCGGGTTTACACGAACTACAGGGAAATTTCCAGAGTTAGGCGGAACTCAACTTTTGAAAAAACACTCAGTTCACGACATGGCAGACTTGCGGGACGAAGCTGTCTACTCGGTTTTACGTTATATGAGGTAGGTGTAATCAATGTATTATAAATTATAATACTTGAAAAAAAAAAACAGTTTCCTTATAATATTATATCATTGTATATAATATATGTAATAGTTAATTAATAATGACGATGCTACAACACTTCAGTGACATAAAAGATGATGTATTATAATATATTGTATTGTAATTATGTTTGTTTAATCATTATGGGAAAAACAATAACAGATGTTGGGAAATAAATATGTTTCCAGAATATCAGACTACACACACGCACACACACACACACACACACACACACACACACACACACACACACACACACAAAACACACATAAACAAAATAGAGTACATCCTAGGCTCACATCATATTCCGCTTGGGGGGGGGGTGGGTGAAGGGTGAACCCATGAGCGCAACTAGGATTTTTGGGGAGAGCTGTAGGCCTGCAGCCGTAGTCCTAATATTTTCTCCTTATTATGAAATACCTTTCGACTAAGTTGGTATATTTGCAAATGGTTTGTAATAAATAAACGTTTACGTCAATTTGTATTCAATATGATTCACCAAGCACGCACAACCCCAATTATTCCTTTAACAATGTATTGAACAAATTTAAATTCTGACTGTTGGAATTTTCAAACACACTTATTGCGACCATATGTTTTCAATTATTTAGATTTATTAGCACAAAATCAGCTTGACGATTCATAGTAAAAAAGGTTGGATATAGTTTGAAAATAAATGAAGCTGGTATTTTGCCACACGAGTACACGGCACTGCAGCCTATAGGTACACGGTACGACAAATATAAGCATCGTGAGCCAAATTTGAGAAACATTTAGGGAGGGGGCTGAGTTTAGCCCCCCGCCTAGTTGCGCCCACGGGGGGAGGGGACGAACCCCACGTCGCCCCTCAATAATACTCGCGGGCAACGCCGTTTTGGCCGCCGGCAATCGCCACTGCAGACGCGTCTGCCACGTAACCGACGAGCTCGTCGCGCAGGCCATCGGCGTCCACGTCCTTGAGGCTGCTGTTGCTGATGACGGTCCAGTTGCTGAGCGCTATCGCCGGCGGCACTTTCACCGGATGCCGTACAAGGGCGCCGGACGTTGTCGAGCTGTCGTCGTCGTCTCCGCCATTACCTCCGCCGCCGCTACTTCCGGCACTGTCGTTGCGTCGTTTGGCGTTTCCGTCGGCCGCCGATCCCGTCAGCGCCCGCCGCCAACAGTCGGCGGGTCCGGCGCCGCCGGGGGCGTGACGACCGCCGCCACTGCACACGACTTCGTCGTCGTCGTCGTCGTCGTCGGCGGGAAGCTCGATGGACGATGTCGCCCGCCCGGACACGCGCCTATACTTTGGTCGGCGGTCGTCGGTCGCAGGTTCGGACGAGTCGCTGCGCAGCCTCCGCAGCGCCGGACCACGTTGACCGCTTCCGGGCCATCCGTCGCCACTGCAGCCGCTGTCGCCGCCACAACACCGTAACACCGTTTCCTGTCGGTACACAACAAAAAACACTGTTTCTCTGTTAACATCATCGCAAGTACAAGTGAACGGAATCCGCGGTTGATTTATTATTATTTACTGCAGTTACTGTAGGTATACACGCACGTGCGCATACATGCAAAATCGCTAGAGCTGCCATTAGACTGCAGGAGTCCAATTGTTGGGACTATAATTTTTATTTTTATATTTAACGTACCTACCACCTCACTTTTTTTTTTTTTTTACTCGGACGAGAGGAAGGCACAAACTAATTAAAGTTACTTTACGTTGTCCGATTTTTATTCTGACAAAAAAAAAATTTGAACACGACAGAAAATTGTCTATAGATCGTACGGAAAACTTTGTCTGAATTAAATCTTATAAAATTGTGAACTGTAATTGAAATCTCGAAAACATGAATTTTTTTCATCTCGTAATTTAAATATAAACTTTAAAGTGTTTCGTTCGATCTATACAGATCTCTTTTTTGCTGGATTCAAATATTTTCTCAGAACCAAAATCTGACAAAGTTATGTAACTTTAATTTGTTCAAAACAATAGGAAGTTGTGGTAAAATTCGTATTGTGAATTTTATATTATTATTGAGTTATTGACATTTGCATGCGCGTACAAGAGTGTTACTAGCACTGAATTTCACCCACACTTATAATCATTTTACAAAAACTAAGTACTAACACATAGATTCCGAGTGGCTATGAAGAGATTAGAAATTGCCTAAATGTTGCACTTTAAATAGTAGCCGTAACGAGACCCCCCCTTAGGCGTATAGAAGTAATTAAAATATTTCATTCGGTGGTAGGTAATTGCGGCCGGAGAGGTGCAGGATCAGCCCTCCCTTCCCAAAAATGTAAATATTAAAAATGAATAATATGATGCATTAATAATTTCGAATTTTGGTCGCCTGACCATTTGCTTGATATACCATACATACCTACGTAACGTATAGAGGGTATACCTAATTTGGGTAGGGATACATTTTTACTCACGGGGCTGTTTGGTTAAGCTCTTACAAGTTGAATATGTAGGTACGTACCTATTTAAATTGTGCCATGCTACCGTAAGCCATAATGAATAATAAAAAAATATCACGTGTAAAAAGAAATCAATTTAAATAAACACTCAACGATTAAAAACATTTAAAAAACAACTACCTACCTATTATCAATAGCCCCACGATTCAAGTATAAAATTTTTTTTTTATCCATCCGGTTATACCTACACTGATTTAGAAATATTTTGAAACCAGAAGCAGGGCGAATGATCATATTTAGCTCATATTTATAAGCCAGAACGATGAGTTCAGAAAATATGCATTATTTCATTGATCATTTTTCTATTATTTTATAAATTTTATCGTGCAATTAATAAAGGAGAAAAATTGAGTTGTGCGTGAATTTTAGAAATCCTTATACTTGAGGTAATTGCTCGGTCGACGTTGTGTTATTTTAGTCGTGGGTACAACATGATAATAATATTATAGTCTTTTAGAGTGATCACTGTTGTAGGTACCAAAGATTGATGGATTTAAGCAAGGATATATTATAATATATATTTATATATTATGCTAATAAGTGGAGTACAGCTGTCGTCCGGAAATGTCTTCACACAGGAGCGAGAAAAGAATAACGTTGATTATCTGTATAATATATTTATGTAAATTTAATACTATCATCAGTTGACCGACATCTCGTATGTACAATAAACATCGTCGTCAACCGTATAAACACGCCATTTCGTGTATATTTATTTTGTAAAAACATGGCAGTAGGTAAATAATATAATGTAGGTACCTTTATCGCTCGTATTATGTATTTTGAAAATGTCCGTGTTCCCGACAAAAAATTCTATCGAGTAAAAGCGCTGCTGACTGCTGTATAATGTAAATGCACAGAGTCAGTATTACAGTGTTTCGCCAAAAGAGTAATAATTAAATAAAATGTTACAACTGTTAACAGTAGTTGTGCACAGAATAAATTTAAATTAACCTTAGGTAGTCGTAGTCCCGAAAATCATAATATATGTGTGCGGGTCTATATTATACCTCTCGTTCTACGTTATTCTTTAAAAATGAATCCTAAAAATAACTAAATTTTATCATGCCAAGCTACAAAACAATCGGAAAATTAACGCGCTTTTATGTCTTGCGTGTTTTCACTCGAGGTCTACCCCCCTCGATCAAATCAAAATTGTTTGCACACGTACCTATTCAAAATTCAAATTTTCAAACCAACCGTCTATTTTATTACGTTGGTGAATATTTTTCATACGTTTAGAAAACAATTTCCATCTACTTCAATAATTACTGACAAATGTATCTAGTCAATTATTACTATCATCCGAAATTCCATTCGAAAATCAATTACTAGAAGCTTCACAAATTACTTCGATATAGATTATAATTTTTATATTAATTGCACCGATTTCGTTTCCCCTAAGCAACATAAAAGATTTAATTTGTCTCTAGATTATCACGACAATTACCGAGCAAGGTTTTCAAAAACGTACAAAAATGTCATAAACTCATAACCATTCACCAATCAACGTTAAAACAAAGTTACCTACACCTAAAGACGATTAAAATACTGATACCAATTTTATGTAAGTACGTGTTTACAAATGTACAACCAAATATCTGACAGCGAGCACTTCCAATTTAAGTAATACTATTCATTCCTGTCAAACTTATTCACAAGCCATTAAACATCAACCATTCTACCAATATAACGAGTTAATAATATATTATGTATACAGGTACATTAAAACGAACACTTATCAACCAACTTATTCTCATTTCTGAGTTCAGACAACTTACTGTCATTAATTATTATATATGACATTTATTTTAAAAAATGTCAACCTAAACGAAATACTATCTATCCTTTATCAATATTATCATTTTGGAATGCAAATAGAGTGTATTATCATAACAAAAATAGACTTAAATTGATTAGATGCACCTGTGAATATACGATAAAAAAATATTATGAATTACAGAAACCAATATTTATTGGTACCAGAAAAAAACAGAAATTTAAATTAAATTCTCATACTGTTGCCTGTTTGTAAATGATTCCCTACTCATGTGTTTAATTGTGTATTTGTATTCTGTCCTTTACTTTCAAAATATATATTTGCTATGTTTTGTTCTATGGATCGTAATTATTTTTAATCATAATAATAAATGAATAACTGTAGATACTTAAAATCTACTCCAAATGTTTATTTTGTCATTTTCCAAACATTTTGTCAATTTTCTATAAATGTCAATACAATTGTATTCTTAGGGCCAGAAAGCTTGAATATGTATTACAGGGTTTCTGATACATTATTGTTACAATAGAAATATTGATATATATTAAAAATACATTGGTACATTTTTTTATGGGCATTCAAAATTTAAATTTTGACAACATTTATCAAATTGAAAATGTACAAATTATTTTGCAGTTAAACAATCAAAAAATGTTCAACTTTTATAGCTAAAGATAGAAAATTTAACACAATGTTATTCAGTAACCAACAAGTGTAAAAAATATATTTATACAGTTTTTTTTCCACAGTTATTTAATGTTAAAATTTGGACGAATTAACATATTAAGTAACAAAAAATGACGATTTAAGTTATTTAGTTGTAATTTAAAAATATTATTGGTGAGTACTTGAAACTTTTAAGGTTTAAACATACAATAACATTTTCAAAAATTTTCAAAAATTGAATTTAACCTGTTGTCGTATATTAATGCCTATTATAGAGTAGAATAAATTACTTTAATTACTATCATATCATAAAATATACCTACTTAGTATTATTATAGGATGACAAACTGTCTTCGCTCAGAATCGTTTTTTTTTTGTGCACAATGATTTTATATAATTGAATTCAAATCGAACAAACACATAACATTGACTCTCTAGGATCTGCTCTAGACACCTAATGTACAGAAAAGCGTTAAAATTGTTGTTAATATTCGGGTTTTAATGATTCTAAAATACAAAAAAAAGTTAACAAAGCACACGTACGTTAAATCACTGTAAATTGTATTCAATTCAATAACAAAGAAATACACGTTAGATTTTAATTATAACCTAACGAATATATGGGTCCTACAACTGTAGAATAATACTATTATAATGATCAACAGTATATCTTGAAAGTGAAAAATAATAACTAAATTGAGTATTTCATTAATTTGTTAAAACGATAATTTTAGTGTATATAGCAGTGGCGTAACCGTGGAGAGGGGGGAGGGGTTAAAAGGCAGCTGCGCACTTTTCGAAAATTCAGATAAATTAAATATGCTTTCAGTGTTCTGTGAACGTATTATGTACACTGCGTATAACCATGTACTGAAATTGTAATTTGTATGAATGTTGATGAAAAATTATAAATAATGTTATGAAGATCTCAAGGTATCTGGTGTGTTATACCAAACTTATGATAGTAGTTGCCAGCTATATACAACAAATTATCGAGAAAATTATATCGAATTAAAACTCTGGCTAGCTTCTGGTATATACTCTTAATGTACATGTACCTATACTCGTAATGTATCCAGGTATATTTTTCACATAATATTTTTTATTATACTCATGACGGAGTAGAGGCTGTACCGTGAAAATAAAATATTATTAAATATATATTTGCTCGTCACTACCAAATAATATATTCGCACTATAGACAATTCAATGTTTGCTTTTTTTGTTATATAAAACATGGTATCAACGTTTAAATTAATGGGAAGTAGAAATAAAATATCAGCATATTTAGAGTTAATTACCAGAAAAAAAAAATTAGTAATGAAAACTTTATACATATATAGGTAGCCAGGTAGGCACTACTTAAATCATCAATTTAAATTCAATTTCGTTATCAACCCCATCGACCCTATATACATTTCTTAATTATAAAATATTCATTAAACAAAGAGTGTTATACGGTGCGCTATAAACAATTATTGACAAAACTTTATTTTTAAACAAAAATGCGG